CTCCACAGCGCTCAATAGCGCATTGACTTCCAAGCGCTCCTTTTGGGATTTCCATGCGAAAAATGCAACCTCGCGCCCCGATCACAAGCTTGGTCTCGTTGCCCCAGGCATGGCGTCCATTTCCAGTGGTTGCGCCGAAGACGGGCTTTTCACCCCACGCTCTAGGGCGCTCCTTCCCCCTCCAAAATAGCCATTGAACCCGGGTGTCGGTCCCATCGTCTCGGATGGGTTTCCATGCATGGCAATTTGCATTTCATTCAGCCACGACTTTGGGTTGCATCGCGGCACAAGACCTGCAGCAAAACAACGCGATGCTGGGATCCCCGATCCATCTCGATGAGCGATCCCCGCCTGCCGTGATTATTTATCCCGCAGTCGGTCGGCTCGGCACACCGGACACGGTAGGCAAGCGTGGACGCTCTCCCGGTGGGTTAGCAAGGTACTTAATGGCCGTCGCCGCTCGGCAAACCTGGGTGCGGAAGATTTGACCCCAGGGATCCCTCTCTTTCCATCCAGTCCCCCATCCATCGCCCACTCCACAGGGCAGTCATTCGTTTTTAGCGGCGCGGTCGACAAGATGAAGAGCGCACTGCAGTACCTTGCCGGAGCGTTGCTGCTCACGAGCGGCGCGTTGGCGCGGCCGCAGGAGTTGGAGACGCTCGAGCCCGTGACGGAGGACTTCTCCGCTGCTGCGGGCAACGCGCCGGGAGGCGGCCCGATCCCGCCCAACAAGTGGGTGAAGAGAACTTGGAACGGCGCCGAGTACAAGTGCAAGTGCTATCCGGGCGACTCATGCTGGCCCTCGACCAAGGACTGGCAGCGGCTGAACACCACTGTGGGTGGAAACCTCCAGGTCAACCTGCCGCCCGCCGCGTCCTGCTACAACAGCTTCGCGGGCCCGCTCGGCACAGTCAACCCGTACAACGCGGCCAAGTGCGCCGAAGTCACGGCCAACTTCCCCAATGAGCAGTTCCAGATCGACCTGCCTACCGCCGGTCTCTGGACCTACTTCACCAACGACACGTGCCGCCCAACTACCAACCCGGCTGACACGTGCACGCTCGGCCACTACGGTGTGCTCTACATCAAGGCCCAGACAGTTGCTCACATCCAAGCCGGTATCAACTTTGCTCGCGATAATAACCTTCGTCTGATCATCCGCAACACTGGCCATGATTTCCTCGGCCGCAGCGTTGGCTGGGGCTCCCTGGTGATCAACACCCACAGCTTCCAGTCTATCTCCACCACCAACTCCTGGACTGGACCTGGCGGCTACACTGGCTCGGCCATCACTGTCGGCGCTGGTGTCCAGGCTATCACTGCTCTGAACCACCTGCACGCCTTGAACCCGCCCAAGATCATGGTCACCGGAGAGTGTGCCGTACGTACCCCTGACTCACACCTATTTGAACTGCATCTGACTTGAGCACTGTAGACTGTCGGTGTTGCTGGTGGTCTCCCCCAGGGCGGTGGCCACGGCCCCCTCACCAACCAGCAGGGTTTCCTCGCCGACACGGCGCTGCAGTTCAAGGTCATCACGGCTGGCGGCCAACTCACGACAGCCAATGCCAACACGAACCCCGATCTCTTCTTTGCCCTGCGTGGCGGAGGCCCCGCTGCCTTTGCCGTCATCGTTGAGGCCACCTACAAGACCTTCACCGATGTCCCCAGCGCTGGTATCCACGTCGACATCACCCCCGCCAACACCAACGGCGACATCAACCTCCTCTGGCAAGCCATCCGTGTCTTCCACAGCTATAGCGTCGCCTGGGTTGATGCCGGCCTCTACGTCTACTACGAGATCTTCGGCCCTACCCTGCACGTCCACCCCATCGTCGGTGTCGGCAAGACCTCGGCCGAGCTCCTGGCCCTCGTCCAGCCCTTCTTCAACGACCTCACCGCCCTCGGCGTCACCTACACCACCACCAGCCACAGCTATCCCACTTTCCACGAGCTCTACTTCGCCCAATTCGAGGCCGAAGTCGCCGGTAACTCTGCTCTCACTGGTGGCTGGACCGTCGCTAGGCAGGACGCCATCGCCAACGGCACCGCCATCGTCAACGCCTTCCGCGCCCTCGGCGACGCCGGCGCCATCATGGTCGGCCACATGTGGAACGCCGGCGCGATTCCTCAGGCCGAGCAGGCCAAGAGTTCCATCAACCCGCGTTTCCGCAGCGTCGTTGACAAGATCATCACAATCGTTCCTGTCGCCGGTAACGCCCCTCTTTCCGCGAAGGCCGCGGCGCAGAACCTCCTCACCAACGTCGTCGATGCTGGCCTGAGAGCCGCGTCGCCCAACGGAGCTGCGTACATCAACGAGGCGGACCCGTTCCAGCCGAACTGGCAGACTGCCTTCTGGGGAACTAACTACCCGGCGCTGCTCACCGCGAGGAGCAAGTGGGATCCCGAGGGTGTCTTCTATGCCGTTTCTACCCCTGGAACTGAGGACTGGAGCCAGATTGAGTACGAGACTAGACTTTGCAAGGCGCAGCCGGTTGGGAAGGGAAAGGGTAAGAAGGCTAAGAAGGCTAGAAGGTAAAAGAGGGTGCAACAAGGGGATAGAAGGGGGTTGCTAGTACATAGTGTGCATTCGTTCAAATCCATTGTGTATAAATTCTATGTCTGACGGCCTAGATGGTATATTATCTTTTTCCCCTTCATCCGCGGCTAAACAATTACCCCCTTTTCTGATATCTGCACATCCGACTCTGACTCTACAGCTGCCTCCTTGACTTCCACAATCTTCCGGTCCTGCACCTCCCAAATTGTAAAGAACGCAGGCACCAAGCTCACCGTCCAAAACACCAGGTTGATCACCGTCGTGTAGAACGGCGAGAACTTACTGCTGCTGATACCAAACGAGGCACATTGTCCCCACGACTCCACGCCTCTGAGCAACCCAGTGCCGCGGCTCAGCTCCGACGTGCCGTCCCCGATGGTACCGATCAGGAAGTACAGATAGTTCTGCACCATGTTCCCGATGGTCTGCAGCATAATGTACATACCGAAGCCCCTTCCGAAACCAGGGCTCGTCCAGTCTAGCCCCTTGGGCGTGCTATCGAACTCGTACTCGTGCGAGATGTACAGGACCCAGATCCACAGGAGGGTAAAGGTGCCGCAGGACAGGACGAATCCGCCGCGGATGCGGGTCTTGACGGTGAGTTTGGGGGAGTCCAGAAAGAGGGCGAAGATGCCGCAGGCGATGGTACCGGTGATAGCGGACAGGAAGGACGCAAGGGCGCGCGCACGAACGGAGAAGTAAAGAGCCAGGAACGTGGAGGCGAAGCCCCAGTATAGCCATGATGAGAAGAAGATGGGCAGGAGGAGGCCGACTTGGCGGGTGGTGGCGGTCTTCCAGAGCTGGCGGAGCTGTTCGCGGGTGGAGGTTTTGGTTTCGACGACGATCTTGGAGCCGTCGGCGCGGTTGGTCTTTTCCGGTGGGGAGAGTAAGAAGGCAAGGGGGAAGGCGAAGGCTTGGAGCACGACGAAGACGAGGAGCGTCACCCATGAGACTTTGCCGGCGGTGGCGCGTGTAGCGTTGAGGCCGAGGTTGATGGCGCCGCCGATGAGCTGGCCGGAGTTTTTGAAGGCCAGCCAGAGGGCGAGGTAGCGGCCGCGCTTGGCGTGTTCGGGGTAGGAGAGGATGATGGCGCCCTCGGCGGCCCAGTACAGACCGGCGCTGACACCGCAGATGGCGGCGCCGAGCATGACGAACCATTCGGTGCCGAAGCGGTTATTTTGGTACAGCGCGGCGCTGTAGACGGACCAGCCGAGCGTGCCTAGGATGAGGGTCTTCTTGACGCCGATAAGGTTGACGAAGACGGGCGAGAGGATGCAGAAGAGGCCCATGAGTCCAAAGACAAGGGAGTTACCGCCGTTGACGAGATATGGAAGGAGGGCGCCGCCTGCCCCGAGGGAGTTGTTGGCGTTCCATAGGCCAGGACCGAGCAGGGCGATGCATCCGCAGATGATCATCTGCGCCAGGACGCTGCGGAAGAAGGCCATCGTGGGCGGTGGCAGTGGTGATTGAGAAGAATTGGCTGAAGTAACATCGTTTCGAAACGGGGAGGTGAGTTTGAGGGAAGATATATACTTGGCCGGTCAGCGATGCAGTCGGTAGCCCGGTCTGGCCCGGGAGGGATGTGAAGTTTGCCTCCGATCGCTTGCCGGAGGTACCCGCCGCGCTGGCTAGACCCGGGGCTGCCTCCACATTTGGGTAGTATAAATTGCGTGCTCAGTCGTGCTTATAGCGTTATAACAAGCATGATCTTTTCTGCTTCAATCTCGCATCGAAAATTTGGTGCAAAAAGTGGACGTGATATCAGAGATAGTAGCCACCCTCGAGCCCTACCATAGTTGCCAAGTGCTTGGCGCGAGGGCTTCTGTATCAAAACAACAGCAATGGATGAAGAGGCAGTTGCTTCAAGCTCCAGGGGGCTGGTGTCGAGCGGGTATGAGGTCGACAAAACTCTGACTCCCACATGTGGGGGTCCACACTTCACCTTGCGAAGGCGGCAGGATTGGTGGGACCTGGGGGCTTTTTTTTTGCAGGAGCGATCACAGGCTCCTGCGACCCCGTTGGGAAGGTGAAAATCCTGGTGCAGCAGGCCAACAGGGGGCAAGTTGTATGGAAGCGCCCCCCGTAGAGGTTTTTTCAGAGATCAATCGTCAACTGCACTGCGGACTCTTCTCTTGAATTTTTGAGGTTTCGATGATTTTGACACTTGAAGGAAGCAAGTGGAAAAATCGGGACATATGACGTCAACCCCCCATATCGACGGTGACTAACACTCTGGACCAATAGAATGGCTCATCGATCGGGCTCGGTACAGCTTGCATCTCGGTCGATGCGGCTGTATCGCGAGATGGGCTGAGAACTGTGAGAAGTAATAGACATAAAGCTGGTGCACCCGGTTCAGTCTCGACGCTCGATGTCGATACACGGCAGAATGCTGTCAACTTGGGATAAAACTTTTGCCTCGATTCTCAATAACAAATCAGGCTGAGTGGCGCAATGGTAGCGCGTTACTTTCCGGTTTCCACAGTTGGTAAAGGTTCTGGGTTCGAGCCCCAGCTTGGTCGATTTCTTCCTTTTTTTGCTTTTGGCCAGGTCAAAAGTCCTGGCCGTGGCATTGGCCTGAGTCATGGTCTTACTTTTTGTTAGAGGGATCCTAGGCCGGAAATTAGGCTTGTGGTTGGGTGGTCGCGCCTGTCAAACGCAAGGGACTGACATGGGAGGAACCACGAACTCTGTTCAGTCGACAACGGCTTTTGTCTTTTACAAGCAATCCTCCTGACTGGGTAGGATCTCCTGCTTTTTATTTCTTCACACCGATACCAGCTCACTCGGGCGAGAGTTCGGCCCAAACAGGGCGATGTGGTCTCTTCGGTGCTCCAGCGGCTGAATCGGGAAAGTGCGGAGGAAGCGCAGGGCAGGCGACTCGATACAGGTACTACTTGGGCGGCATCAACTTATGGCGGCTGAATGGACGCGCAGGTCAGCGGAACGACGCATGAAAGATGAACCATTTGAGCCCGGAGCTGCGTTCCCGGAATAATTTCCATGATGTCAGTTTCTCCGTCTTCCGTTCGCTTCGCGCTCGGGGGTGTCGCCGAGAGGTCATGGTCTGGATTTGGCCTCAAATACCTTACCCATTCGACAGCGCCGCACCGTCTGCATGGAAATCTGACATTGGATATCGAAAGTCGTCACCATGAAATTCAGAGCGGCGATAGCCGTCATCGCCGCAGCTGGTCTCGATCAAGTTCTCGCCATTGTCGTCGAGTGCCCAATCGAGAGCGATTTCCGGCCTCTTTCGGCGGGGCAATTCATCGAGGCAGCGAATCCGGGATGGAACGCCGGCAACACACTGGACGCTGTACCAAACGAGGGATCGTGGAATAATGCCCCGCTCCAAAACTCGACGCTCACTCATGTCAAGGCCGCTGGGTACAAGTCGGTCCGCATTCCAGGTATGCCGGTTGTGCAATTCAGGGCCGACTCTAGCGACGAATGCTGATGATACTGGACAGTGACATATGCCGATCATTTTGTCAGCGGTTCTCCAGAATGGAAGATCAACTCTACTTGGTTGCAGCGTGTCTCGGATGTGGTGGACATGGCAACTTCTCAGGGGCTTTATGTCATCACGAACATGCACCATGGTACGCCTCTTTCCGTGAGCCTGGCATCTTCAAGTTGCCCAACTGACAGACCCCATATACATACAGACTCCTGGAGCTGGGCAGATGTCTCAAAACCGGATGCAAATCAGACCATGATCCAGGAGAAGTTCTATGCCTCTTGGTTGCAAATCGCCAAGACCCTTTCGTGCAAGTCAGCAATGGTTGCATTTGAGCCGATCAACGAACCGCCCGGAACTACTGAAGAGCACGCAGGGCATCTTGACAAGCTGAACAAGCTGTTCCTCAAGGCTTTGGGTGAGACTGGCGGGTACAACTCACAGAGGGTCGTGACTTTGTCAAACTTAGGAATGGGCGCCGATAGGATCCAGCTCTTCAAAAGGCCCGAGAACATCACAAACCCCTGGGCCTACCAGTTTCATTTCTATTCACCTTGTAGGTTCTTACACTTTATGACTCTTGACGACTGCAGTGCTAACATTTTCAAGACGACTTTATCTTCAGTGCATGGTACGTTTGTTCTCGCCGAGACAGCCAGGATGGAATCTAACCAACACAGGGGTAAAACAGTCTGGGGCAGTCCAGCCGACAAGGCAGCCGTTGTAGCCGAACTCACCTCAGTCCGTGGAAACTTTTCGGCATCTGACTCGGACGTTCCCATTCTACTCGGCGAGTTCGACGCCTCCCAGCTGAACCTCGAACCGGCAGCGCGATGGAAATGGTTCGACTTCGTCGTCCGCACCGCCAAATCACTCGGAATGACAACTGTGCTTTGGGACAATGGGCTCGACAATTTGGACAGGCAAACAGGCATATGGCGAGACAAAATCGCCGTGGACATCACCATGGCCGTCCTCAGGGGCGAGAATAACTCCCTTGCTGATAGCACAACGGACGCCTCGGCAACCACCCAAGAGAGCTCGGCATACGCCTTCAACAAAGTAGGAAACACTGTGACTGACAAGACACTTCCTTTTATCATGAACGGAAACAACTTCACGAACCTCACTTTGGGCTCGACGTTGTTGAAAGAGGGGGAAGATTACACCCTCGGCGAGTCAGCGGTTACTCTGAAGCAGGCCTTCTTGTCGAAATACCTCCATGCAACAGCAGAGCCCGGAACAAAGGCAAACATCACGGTATCCTTCTCCGCTGGAGCTCAGTCACAGATTGAACTTGTTCAATGGGATGTCCCAACACTCAGCTGGTACTCCGTCCCAGCTAAAGAGATCGCGAAGGGCTCTGATCTGCAGATTCCAATCACGTGGAAGGGACTTCACAGAGTGGCTGCTGTCAAGATTGCAACAACAGAAGGGGCGTACCTGTTCGATGATTGGACACAATATCTCCCTGACTTGCAGAAAGGCCGTGGGGTATGTTCCCCCTTTCCAGTTCTCCACACTTGTGTACCATGGCTTGCTGACAATATGAACACAGACCTTCAACAGCCAGTGGAACTTTGACCACGACCGGGTCATCATCACGAAGGCAGCTGTCGAAGCTGTGGTGGCGTCGGGGAAAAACACAACGTTTACGTTTGAGTTCTATCCTCGGGCGGCAGGGAATGGGAATGTGGTCCAATATACTTTGACTGCATAGAATGCATGACGATCATCGATGGTATATATAAACACCTAAATCAGGTCAAACTCCTGGAACCTAATGCTCCACTCAGTCAGCTTCTCTGTGGTTATAACCCGAAGTAATCTCTCACCCTCCTCCTTTGTACCTTCACCGGTTTCCCCGCCGGTGGAGTCCGAATGACGCACCCGGACGTGTTTCGAAAACCAATGCTCCCAGGCATAGGAGAGTGCCTCGTAATCTGATATCTCGTCCAGTTCCACTATTTTGATGCCGACAAGAAGCTCGTCGTCTAGATTTCCTGGTAGAAGATGGAGAAGTCGCACTCGGGCTGCTGCGGACAATTGTGCTTTCGTTGGTGTACCTGGATAAAGGGGTGTATACTGGTATCTGGGGCCGAATGACTGCAGCAATTTTTTTTTTCGCTATCAAGCAGATGAGGTCTTTTCGCTTGGTGGCCCTATTTGGTGTTTGGTGAAGAGGGATGTCAACAGGAACATCTGCCTCAGGCACTTGAGCATCACCCAATAGCGAACACTCGATGTCAGCCACTATGGCGTTCCCCGCAGTGCCATAGCTACCAGAAGCAAACCAGGCGGGACAACATACAGCGCGCAATGGGTTTCCATCATTTTTTCAGCCACAATAAAAGAGTGTTCAGGTGTATTGGAGCAAGGGGGAAACGTTTTACAGATTTTGCTGTAAACAAAAGGGGTTGGCCTGGCCCGCTTGTCCCAGCCAGTGCGCAGTGGGGTGAAGCACTGTTTCTTCGCACGGTGCCCCCCTACAAACACCATCAGTTCTCCAGGCAGCATTCAAGCGGGGCAAGCACGAATGTTGGACATTGGGCCTGGGTTGCCCTTTTCTCCTAAGCAAGGCAAGAACTCAAACTTCGCGAATAAAATCCTCACAGGAAGGCAGGCATGGACTTCTACCCCTATCTCACCCTACGACCCGAGATCCACGAAATTCGGCTTCTCTCCATTGACATCGACTCCGCGCCTTCGGACGACGCCCCTCAATCCCAATCCCAAGATTTCCTACCATGGTCTCTAAAACTAATCCATGCATCCCTCGATTCCCAACCCCCACCCCACTTCGCAGCCCTTTCCTACGTCTGGGGCGATCCATCCGGAAAGCGACAAATCGAAATCGACGGCCACCCCATCGCCGTGACAAAAAACCTGCACAGTGCACTCACCCGGCTCCATCGCCAACGGTTCACGGGATGCATATGGATCGACGCGCTGTGCATCAACCAGTCCGACACTCTAGAGAAGAACTTGCAGGTCCCGTTGATGGCGCGCATCTACAGCCAGGCAGAGCAAGTTCTAGTCTGGCTTGGTCCCGAACCGGACTCTGGTGCCCTGCGCGTGGTGCAGCAGCTGGGCGTTCTCTTTCGTGAGCAGGTGCGGAATTTCCCTGGCGAAGGACGATCTCGGATTCCAGGATTTGTTCAGACGGTCAGGGATTACAGCATCACCGCGACTTCGCCGCCAGCTCAGTCCGGGTTCGATTTTGAAGCTATTTGGCGGTTCTTCCGTCAGCGAGCGTGGTGGCGGCGCGTATGGATCATTCAGGAGGTGGTGCTGGCGCGACAGGCGGTGATGCTTTGCACCGAGGACCCCGAGGTCTCTGCACCGTGGGAGGATGTGCGGGAGTGCCTGCAGGTTTTCGAGCGGATGATACTCAGCCCGAGTACCGCACCGGAGTACCGTCGGCTGTATGACATTTTGGGCGAGGTCTATCCGAATGTGATGCATCTTGCTGTCGCATCGGATGGCTACAAGAGATGCCAGACGGAGAGCGGCGTCTCTGATGGGTTGGGTCAGGCGGGCATGCCCCTGATGGAGGTTATCACGTGGACATCGTTTGGAACTGGCTCGGACGACTCGATTCAAGCTACAGACCCCAGGGATAGGGTATACGGGCTCCTGGGTATAACTCGGCTGGAAGACCGACAGAGAATACTTGTCGACTACTCGCCCAGTACCACGCTCAACAAGGTGCTGTTCATGGTCGCCAAAGTGCTATTGGAGCAAAATGGGCCGGATGTCTTGTGCTTCTGCCGAGAGACTGAGCTTTCCCTTCAGGGGCTCCCCTCATGGGTTCCCGACTTTACTGCTCGCCGGATCCCCATGATTGGCGATGTTTCTTTGGGCGATAATGGCTACGAGCCATATGATGCTTGCAAGGGAACAGTTTGGCCGGAATGGGGTTCACGTTCCCATATCGTGGGTTCAGTCTACGAAGAGCCAGTGGTCTCGTTACCGGGCCTGATCGTCGGGCGCATTGCCGAGGTCGGACAAGAGTTCAAAGCTCCTCCATCCACCCCAAGTTTCCTCAATGACTGTCGA